CTGCAGGGGAGGGCAGTTGGGGGCAACCAGGCCTGCAGGGGAGGGCAGTTGGGAGGGACCAGGCCAGGAGGGGAGAGCAGTTAGGGGTGACCAGGCCTGCAGGGGAGGGCAGTTAGGGGCGACCAGGCTGGCAGGGGAGGACAGTTAGGGGCAATCAGGCCAACAGGGAAGCAGTTAGGCGTCAATCAGGCTGGCAGGGGAGTGGTTAGGGGGTGATCAGGCTGGCAGGTAGAAGCGGTTAGGAACAATCAGGCAAGGCAGGCAGGCAGGCAGGCGAGTGGTTGGGAGCCAGCAGTCCTAGATTGTGAGAGGGATGTCCCAGTTTGGAGAGGGTGCAGGCTGGGCTGAGGGATGGACACACACACACACACACACACACACACACACACACACCCGTGCACAAATTTCGTGCACCGGGCCTCTAGTACAAAATAATACTGAATATGTAAAAAAAATTAGAAGTATTCAAGTAGAGGCTGAACTGCCACTTCTCAGGAATGTGTCAGAGAGAATCCTTCATTACACAGCAAATGAAATGTGATGTCTGAAATGTCGTAGTTCCCTCCACACAACAGGGACATGGGATTGCAGACTTCCGTAGAGACTACGAAACTGGATTGTCAGACAGACATATTTGCAAACATATAAACATATCAATTATGACACTCTGCTCCATTCCATTAAGATCTGGATTAATAAATGAGTTTAATATCACTACATCTTTCCTCAAAGGTCACAAGATCAGCTCTCAGTTCCTACACTTTCTTCACTTTCTCTCAGTCCCACCTAAACTTCTAGGCTTAGAACAATGAACTACTTGTAAGTAAGCTTCTCAGGGCACAGACATCTTCATTTCTGTATCCACTTTAGCATTGTTCCTCATACTGTACTTAGCACTGTTTGCTGTTCTATATGTTTGCTGAACTGCTTAACTGAGAGTTGCAGAAATGGCATATGACAATCTGCTTCTCAATGAGATGATGGAAAGTCCAGTGCTATGTGAGTTTCTGAGTTATGGCTCACCAGTAAGATACCCCATCCATATCAGTATCCCAAGTTCCACCTTGGCTTACCATTACTGATTTCTGGGAGGTCAAATTTAGTGAAGTCCCACCACTGGAGCCGGTAGGTGGTATTGGCAATATTACTGGCCACAGCAGACTGTCCATCACCAATTACTGCCCCTGGTGAGAGAGAAGAAAAGAGAGTCCATGATAGTGTTTATCTACATGTTTCCACTGAGAACATAAGTAAATCAATACTGGGATTAGTAGGAGAGAGGGAAGAGGAAGAACCATACTAGGGCTAAAGAAGGCTGGCAAGTCCCATCTGTCAAGCCCCTGATTCAAGGAGAAATCAGACATCTTTCTCAAGAACAATTCTACGTGGAAATATAATTCCATTCATCAGCCTTCTCCAATTATTTAATATGTTTTTTTAAGTTGATTTTTTAGATAGAGAGGAAAGGAGAGAAGGAGGGAGGGAGGGAGGGAGGGAGGGAGGGAGGGATGGAGGGAGACTGATATGAAAGTGAACATCAATCGGTTGCCTCCCACAATCACCCAATTGGGGATCAAACCCACAACCTAGGCATGTGCCCTGACCAGGAATTGAACTGGCAACCTTTTGGTACAAAGGAGGACACTCAACCAATTGAGCCATCCATACCAGCCAGGGTAGCTTCCTCCCATTATTAATTAACATTTACTTAGTGCCAACAATGTTGCAGATACTGTATATATCCTGTTTGGTAAGCTCACAATCTAAAGAGACATGAATTTTCATAAAAATGTGAAACAAACCCTAGCAGGTTTGGCTCAGTGGATAGAGTGTCGGCCTGTGGACTGAAGGGTCCCAGGTTCGATTCTGGTCAAGGGCACATCTTTGGTTGTAGGCTCCTCCCTGGCTGAGGCTGTGGTTGGGCGTGTGTAGGAGGCAACCAATCGATATATTTCTCTCACATCGATATTTTTCTCTCTTTCCCTCTCTCTCTCTCTAAAAACCAATGGAAAAATATCCTTGGGTAAGGATTTTAAAAAAAAATAATAAAGTGAAACAAAAAGTGAAAGCATGAGAGGACTCCATTAACAGAGAAAAAGCATTCTGGTCCCTGGATGTCTTTGTAATAAGCAGCGCTCTTTAGGAGAAAGCTTCTCCTTAGTATGACCTTCTTCCTAATAAAACATCTTAAAAGAAGGCTTCCTCCAGGGAACAGGCAGCCACTATACAGCTGACTGGATCTAGACTATAAAAAACAAACGAGGTAATATTTGTTAATTTCTTCTGGACCCCTGGCATGTAACACAGCAGAAATTTATAAGCCTAGTTTTTTCAGCATCAAAATATTTTTATTGAGACAACATTTTATAACCCACACTTCCACCCCACTCATAAGAACTTCTCTGAATCCAGATTCACTTGTAACATCTCACAGTTTAATTTTCCCTGAGATACACGCTTCTGTGTGACATTCTTTCCTTGGTAGCCAATTAAATAAAAAATGGATTTTTAACAGGGTGACACTTTAATTTGCAGTTGTATTTCATTTACATGAACATGTCATTTCCTCCTCCTCCTTCCAAGGTGCATTTCGTACACAACCACCCTTCTGATCAGACAGAGCCAAACCCTCCTGGGAGAATATTCTTGCATGCTAGACAACCTAAATGGTATTCTCTGCTGCAAATCAACTCTTGCTTTGAGAAACTGAGCTTGTTAGAACTTACTAGTCTCCAGATAGTGAACAATTTTATACCTATTTCTGCATATCACTACAAAGGGTTTTGTCATCTTTTTATCTTTTATTTTTTAACTTTTAGAGAACTGCCTTCATTGCTCTGCTACTCCTGGTGTTTTCCAATTGTTTGCTCAAATGGTCAAAAGATTATTCAGAGAGAAAACAAGCCCTAAAATATGAGAAAAGTACTCTTTCTACTCTTCTCTAGTTGCTGCAGGCCACTGCCTGAGAAGACTTTTCAATGTTAGTTTACTGACAGTGCCTTTGTCCCAGTTTCAACTGCAGAGAAAGTACACATACTGTAACAGCTCATCTTCAAGATGATGATATGTCTAGATTATGTATTCTCAACATGGGCAATACTACCCTCATGGGGGTGAAAACTAGCTCATAGAGGTGGGCGGGGGGAATCTTAGTACAATAGCTGGTTCCCCTCCTATGTACTGCAGTAGATAAACAGATACACAGCACATCCGTGATATTAAAATTTCATGACAGTAGAGATGATTAGGGGGGAAAAATGTCTAAAAGGGCTCCTCAGAAGGGTAATAATGAAATAGAGGTTGATAAATACCATTTTAGAGAAAACAATACCCCCCAAACAACATATTCTTTAAAATCTTACAGATTCAAAGACAGAGACCCAAATGGTCATGATCTCCCCAAGGACCGAGGAAGACAGCATTTGGGGGATGCTGCCAATGAGTCCACTGACCTGATACCCTTATTGAGGGTCCTGTGGCACCACTCAAATTAGTAAATATATATATCCTTCCCTTTATTTTATATTTTTAATTTGAGAGAGAGAGGGAGGGGGAAGGGAAAGAGATAGAGAAACAATGATTTGTTGTTCCACTTATTTATACATTTACCAGTTGTTTCTTGTATGTGCCCTGACCAGGGACTGAACCCGAAACCTGGGCATATTGAGACAATGCTCTAACCAACTTAGCTACCCAGCTAGGACTATGCTCTTCCTTTTAACCTTTACAGAAAATTCTATATAATCACATCTAATCAGAAACTTCTGCTAAACTTCTGGGACACAAGGAGGTAAGATTCCAAGGGACTGCCTTAATAGGAACTTTCTTATTTTTATGGGCTTCCTTGATAATGAAAACCATTTTTTAAATTCTAAGATCTATCCTTCCCAGGACAGAATTACTCAGTTGCACTCTGACCCAGGCTCCATTCCACTGAAGCTTCTGAATTGTTCCCCTGGCTTGCTTATCTAGATGGCTGACATCTTCCTTTGACCACTAGCCTCTCTCAAATTACTTTAGTTCCTTATCATTTCCTCCAACTCCTCATAGAAAATCATATAACCCTAAATGGAAGAAGATAAATTAATTTTCTCAGTATATGATGAACAAAATGCTAGTTGCTAAAAGAAGGTAGAAAATAAGTGGAAGAAACAAACCCCATATTCTAGGGGTTTAAAATATGAGGGAGAAGATGAGAACTACAAACTGGAAAACAGTTATGGAAAATACCAGATGCTTTACGAGTGCTGTGGATCTGCAACTGGGAACACGAATGACTAAGGCTCCAATCCACTGCTCTAGAAGCACCCTGTGCGTGCCTCAAGAAACATCTTCTGGAGAACAGCTGTGCAATAAAATAAACATGTGTGAAGAGACTGGGGAAGTGTTCCCTGCCAACAGTGCCAGAGTGCTGAGAAGAAAAGAAGCCTGGCACCAGGAAGAGTCAGTTTTTGGTGCCATGTAAACATAGATTAGGGAGCTAAAGATGCCAGCAACAGATTGTCACCAGGTTCTCTTCTGCAAGAACTGCTGGCCAACCACGCCTCTCGGAAATATCAGGAAGAAAAAGTACCACCCTACTAAAAAAACCCAACCATTTAGTATAAGGTGAAGGTATAGGACGTGCCAGAATGAGTCAATGGGCTGAGCTACAAAGTATTAGATAGGACACAGCCTCAGAAACCAAATCCAGAGAAACTGCTGAGGGATTTCTGAGGCCACAATGTTTTCTCAGTAACAACAGAATGGAACAAGCTAGACTCAAGGTTTCTCAACCTTCACTGTTGATACTGTGGGCCAATAATTGTTTACAGGGTGGGGTGGGTCTTGTGCATTGTAGGATGTTTAAGCAACATCCCTGGCCTCTCCTTACAGATAAAGAAACCAGGTAAGTTTCCTTATCTATAAAAAAAAGTATAATAAGAATACCTACAACTTATAGGGTTGTTGGGAGAACTTACTGAAACAATAAATGTAATGTGATGGCAAATAAATAATAAATGTCTAACAAATGACCGTCATTAAAATTACCTTGGCCCTAACTGGTTTGGCTCAGTGGATAGAGCGTCGGCCTGCGGACTGAAGAGTCCTAAGTTCGATTCCAGTCAAGGGCACATGCCCAGGTTGCAGGCTCCATCCCCAGTATGGGGCATGCAGGAGGCAGCCGATCAATGATTCTCTCTTATCATTGATGTTGCTATCTCTCTCTCCTCTCCCTTCCTCTCTGAAATCAATAAAACAATATTTTTAAAAATTTACTTTGATAATTTACTCCAATCTCTGTATGCTTTCCTCAATGGGTATAGCTCTGTAATCAACAGCTCATAGAAGTCCTTTTGTAAGAGATTGGCCCAAATAATGTGCCAGTGCCAAGAGAAAGAAGTACTTATTTATTTATTTATTTATTTATTTATTTATTTACTTTTGAATCCTCACCCTAGGACAGTGATGGCGAACCTTTTGAGCTCGCGTGTCAGCATTTTGAAAAACCCAACTTAACTCTGGTGCCGTGTCACATATAGAAATTTTTTGATATTTGCAACCATAGTAAAACAAAGACTTATATTTTTGATATTTATTTTATATATTTAAATGCCATTTAACAAAGAAAAATCAACCCAAAAAATGAGTTCGCGTGTCACCTCTGACACGCGTGTCATAGGTTCGCCATCACTGCCCTAGGACTTAGTGAAAGAAAAAGAGAAAGATCGATGTGAGAAACATCACATCAATTGGTTGGTTGCCTTCCATACATGCCCTGACAAAGGATCGAACATGCAACCTTTTAGTACATAGGATGACACTCAACCAACTGAGCCACTCTGGCTGGACAAGAAGTACTTAATTTTAGAATTAAGGCCAAATGTCTAGTAGCAGCGGCCCAGCCAGGAGCTGTAGCAGGGGAAGGCACTGCTGCAGGAGATATGGAGGCCTCCATCCAGGTGGGGACCAGCTGGGCTGGCGCCTCCCCGCATCCCTCACCCCAGGCCGCTGCCCTGCTGCCCTGCTGCCCTGTGCCTTGCGCCATCCACAGGAGGGGAAGTGGACAAGAGTAGCCTAGGCCCTACGCTCTTTACAAAGGATGCTGTCAGATCACAAGGGAAGTAAAATAGAAATTAGTAACAAAAAGATAACTGGAAAATCCTAAAAGACTTAAAAATTTAGCAACACGCTTTAAATAACA